AAGACTCCCTATTAATCTATACTATTGAACAGATAAGATAAGAACACTGAATAGATAGGACTCCCTACTGATCCTACTACTGAAAACAGATAAGCTAAGATAAGAACACTGAATAGATAAGATAGAATTGTATCTAGCTAGAATTAGATAAGATGAGAACTGAGAACACCCAATTACTGCTGCTGTCGGCGGCTATACTTCTTCCCAATAAGCGCGTCCACATCACCAACAGAAAGTGAGAATTCCAATCAGAGCCAACCCACCAAGGAACCTACTTCAGAATGCCAAAATCATGAGGCCCTGAAGGTTCTTAAACAGGTCTAGGTTCTAAATGGTTAACTTGGTGGGGGTCTACCATATATATACCAACGCAAGAGGAGATTCTCTTCTGAGAGAAGAAGAAGAAGAAGAAGAAGAAAGAAGAAACAAAGAAAAAAATAAACCCTGAAATCTATGTATTGACAAGTATTTTATATGAGACCATAAATAAAAAAGAATGTATATGACATATTTCTCAGTCAATTGATTCAGTATAACAAAGAAAATCTTTCTTCAGTTTTATTGATATTTCTTGTTTTAGGTTATTGAACGAGTTATTGTTTGGATAGGTTATAGTTAAACAAGTTATTGAACTTGTTACTTGGACAGATTATAGTTGAACAGGTTATTCAACCTATTATTTGGACAGGTTGTGTTAATGAGACAAAGTGTACAAAAAACATGGATTTGGGCCAAGGGGTAAAATTGGAAAGAGATGAAAAAAATAGCAATTTTCTCAGGAAAATGGGTGTTACAAAAGAACATGGAAAAATAAGAGATTTCATTTACCTGGATAAATCAAACAAAAAAAGAACATGGGCAAATGCACTTACCGAGGAAACACTTACCTGGGTAAGTGCATTTACCCAGGTAAATGTGTTTTTGAAAAAAGAACATGCCCTAAGTATTACCTTTCCACTGCTCTATTACATTAAGGGGGCATTAGTTTTTTAGATTTTGAGAGGGGGGAAAGTTGGTTAATGGGATTTTGATTCCCATTTACCAAAAAACCTATGTTCTTCTTTTAGATTTATGTAGGGACCAAGGAAAATTTATTTTCTGGGTATTACTTACCTAGGTAAGTGGTACCCATCTCCTAGGTGGGTAAATAACTTTTCCACTGGGGAAAAGTTGCCAACACTTGAATGGGACAAAAATGCTCCTTTTAGTAATTGAGTTTTATGGTTAAAATGGTCATTGCCTTATTTACATGGGAAATAAAAGAACATGAGTAAATGCACTTACCCGGTAAATTTTTCTTGGAAAACACTTACCTGAGTAAGTGAATTTATCTGTGTAAATAACTTACCGAAATGAAAATGGGGCCTAAGTGATGTGGATTTTTATTGGCGGTTGCAGATTTATTTTTTCTTGCAATCACAATGCAGGCAATGTGAACTCCATTATGTGAGAAAATAGCACCATGTTGGAGCCACATCAGATTAAAAAAAAAAAAAAAAGGTTCCACTATGATTTGGGAAAAGATCCCATATCTAAAAAACTTCTAACTAGTCATTCTAACTAGTCAACTGGAATTATAAACATGGCAGCTAATCAGGTCTTATCAAAATTCATTGGTGGGTTTTGATTGGTCAAAACTCTTCCCATAAACTGATTTCTCACAAATTGGCAAAACAAAAAAAGGGTCCATCTCAGAAAATGTCATTTTTAACTTTTGTGCAAATTTATTAAACTACCCTTATTGTTTAGCTAATTGACTAAGCATACCCTAGTGGTTGACTGTTGGCTAAGTATACCCTCACTGTTTCTAAAATTACCATTATCCTTAAAAAATTGACAGAAGGACTAAAATGTCCATTTTGCCCTTGCATGAAGCTCCGATTTTGCAGTGACATCCAAATCCCTGCGTCTAGGAAAATGTAGAGCTCAAAGGTGAAACCCTACAACACGATCTCAATTGATGTGAGAATGTAAATCGACTGATGGGAGGATTCTTCAATTTGGGTTTCACAAGTGATTTTGAAACCCTGTAAATCAACCGTGTTCACTGCTTCAGACAATAGTCATCGACTTCGACGACTACCGGGCGCAAGGGTAATCATCTGCGAGTCGTCGGGGGTGACTCATGGGAATGTAAATCGCTGCAAGTCAAATCGAGAACTGCCCCACCACTCCGTCATAATACGACTATTCAGAGCACTACCCCACCACTGTTCATCTCCCCCTTCCTCTTGATAGGGGGAGCAGCGGCAATGCGGTGATGGATTCTCTCCCTCTGGTCTCTTCTCTCTTACCTCCCTCTATCCCTCTCTCTCTTACCTAGGGTAGTTATGGAATAAATGCTTGGTGGTCAATCGAAGTAGAAGCGAATTGGGTTTGCGGACCGACTTGTGCTCGAGGTCGTTAATGGCGGCCATGGTGGGGGCGGTCTTGGAGCGGTGGAGATTGGTCTTGGTAAATGGAAGTCGTTGTCACAGATGTGCTCTCAGAGGTGAGATCAATGGGGTGAAGACGAAGAAGAACCTCTCAGGGTGAGATCGTGAAGGCGAAGAAGAAGAGCGGGAAGAAGAGAGAGAGAGAGAGAGAACCGTCCATTGTTGTTGCTCTCAGATTGAAACAGGGGAGGTAAGATCCTTGCTTGTTCGGTGCGACAATCTTGCTGATTTCAAGCCAGGGTTCTGATGGAGCCACTGACTTTAGCTCTGTTCCAAGTGTTGAAGGGAAGAGTGAGAAATCCAGCCTATGTTCTTCTCCAATGCTCTTTGTGGTCGACTGTCTGTTTAGATCATATCTTGTTTCATATAAGAAGAGGATAAACAGAAGAAAGAGGAAGATAGAGGGAAGAGAGAGATCGGAGGAGGGGGGGGTGCTGGTGTTCTTGCGAGGAAGATGACGAGGGAAATATTGGGTTTTAAAAAATTTTAATCGTCACATGATATTAGATATATATGGAATTTGACGGAATATTAATGGGTTAAGGATAAGGGTAGAGTTAGTCAATTGTTGAAATAATAGGGGTGGGGTGTAAGACAAAAATTATAATAAGGGTACAGTTTGTCAATTAGCTAAACAATAGTGATAGTTTAAGAAATTTGCCCTTAACTTTTTCCTTTTTCTCAAAATGTTTTTCTCGTATGGTGGTTGATGTGGTGTCTCCATAGGGGGTGTAAATGAATCAGATCATGGTTGAATTTGGATCAGCGGGATCTTTGGATCGGATTAGATAATAGGATCCAATCACAAATTGGATCGGATTTGGACCACCATATCCAATCTGATATATACACTATATATTTATTTATATATGTTATTTGTTTATTTATATTGTATTTTTGTAAATTTGTTATATTATTTATTTTTTTATAAAAAATGTATATATATATGATGAAAATAATTAAAAAGTACTTGCATTTTTCCTTTTCTCTATTTAAATTGGTGTATATTTTATTTTTTTTAATGATTTATTAATTTTTATAGAAAATAAATCGGATTGGATCAGATCCAAATATCCGTTTTCCCAATCGGATTTGAATTCAAGTCCATGCCTATTAAATCTGATCGAATCTTCGGATCAGATCAGACCGAATATGGATCTACAATTAAACATGTCAGTTCGAATTTGGATATACCTTGATTCGAATCCGATCCAATCCGTTTACATCCTTATGCCTACATTGCACCCTTTTCTCAAAAAACGGCAATGGAGAATCAAACAACACCATAAATAAATGTTTTCTCAAAAATTAAAAAAACACTGCCGTTTTTTGAAAAAAAAAAACATAGTGAAACCAAACATACCTCCTCAAGTATGAATATGCGTGGTAGATGAAACTTTGTATTATTCAAAAGGTGTAATACTCGTCGATTAAAATTGTCTCAATGATGCAGAAATTTGTTAAATTGGATACTCCATTTGCACCTTTTTTTCGCCATGATTTTGAAAACCAGAGCGGACCAAATGGTCCAACTGTCTGATCCAGGAACGTTCATAGCGTCGGGTCCGATTTTAAATTCAAAAACCGTTTGAACAGGGATTCAAATCGGACTGTCAGATCATTTGACACAAGAACCATTTCTGAATCGATTTTTAAAAACATGATATTAATCATCGAATACATGGACATATGTCTTATCCTGGTATTTATAGTGTTTGGGTGACTCTGACATAACTCATACCATATGCTATGATTTAATAATTTGAAGCCTTGAACGGTGCCTATTGTGCCACATTCTTGGTGGCGTTATTGCATCTCCGGTCCTTGCGGTTCAGCTGAAGCCCCATAAGCTTGTGGCCTTATCCACAGATTTCGTTGAGTTTACAAATATATATATTACCCACCCATTCATGGAGTCTTTGACATGGGAAACTGTCAAAGGCTGATGACGTGTCGAACATTGGTCCACAACAGGTAAACTACAAACCCAAGATATCAGTCAACTTTAATTCGACACCTGGCCCAGATGGGGTCCACTCGAAACCCGAATTTTGTTGCGGAGTTCATGGGTGTTGTATGGTAAACTCAAATGTGGCATTCCTCTGGATTTTGAAGAAACGGAGAGAAGAACAAAAAGAGAAGAGGGAGGTGAGAAGGAAGGGCATTCGAGAAGGGGGGGAGAGAAGAGAAGAGAGAGCTGAAGTCAAAGCTATCTTTCTTCTCTCCTTTTGTTTTTTCCTATTTCTTTTTCACTTCCCTTTTCCTTTCTTCAATCCTTCTTCAACCCATTATACCAATTACAGAACTCTTCTCTATTGAGGAATATTTCTGTTGTTTACGTCGAGGGACAGAATTTAAGGTGAATAAGGCCTGCTACAAAGAAGAATTCCCCTCTGTAAGATCAAATCTCTGCACCACCATCCTTCCAAATCTGTTCCACTGATACCTTAGCAGCAGCAGGTAAACCATTTTGCCCTTCTCATTTGGAATAATACAAATTACAAGCCCCAAAGTTTTATTCAGACCCGATCGGGGTGCTTGCTCGATTCCTTGCACCCCAAGATCATGGCTCCAAGCAAAATCCGAAAAGCCCTTGGCGCGGTCAAGGACAAGACCAGCATCAGCCTAGCCAAGGTCAACAGCAACGCCCTGTCCGACCTCGACGTCGCGATCGTGAAGGCCACACGGCACGATGAGCAGCCGGCCGAGGAGAAGCACATCAGAGAGGTCATCAACCTTACTAGCTACTCCAGAGCTTACGTTAGCGCCTGCATTAACATGCTCTCGAAACGTCTCAACAAGACTAAGAACTGGACGGTGGCGCTCAAGACACTCATCTTGATACATAGGCTCCTCTTGGAGGGCGACTCCGCCTACGAGAAAGAGATCTTCTTCGCCACCCGTCGGGGCACCAGGCTTCTCAACTTGTCGGACTTCCGGGATGGCTGCCACTCCAACTCCTGGGACTACTCCGCCTTTGTGCGAACCTATGCGCTGTACCTTGATCAGCGGATCGAGTTTCGAATGCAGGGTAAGCGCAGCCGGAGTAAGGCAGCTAGAAAAGAAGTCGCCGGCGAAGAGCCCAAGGCACCTACGTCCCTGCGCTCCACTCCGGTCCGTGAGATGAAGACGGAGCGCATCTTTAACAGGATTCAACACCTGCAACAGTTCCTCGAGCGTTTTCTGGCATGTCGGCCAACAGGCGAGGCCAGGACCAACCGGATAGTGATCGTCGCTCTGTACCCAGTTGTAAAAGAGAGCTTCCAGATATACTACGACATAGCAGAGGTAGTGGCCATCTTGGTAGATCGGTTTATGGAGTTTGAGGTCCCGAACTGCGTGAAGGTGCATGAGATCTTCACCCGGCTATCAAAACAGTTCGAGGAGCTCGATAAATTCTTCAGTTGGTGTAAGTCGGTTGGGGTTGCTCGTTCGTCGGAGTACCCAGAAGTTGAAAAAATAACCTCGAAGAAGCTCCAATTCATGGACGAATTAATTCGTGACAAGTCCATCATTAGCCAGAGCAGGAAAATCAGGAACCAGGAGATACAGACGGTAATAGTGGAAGAACAAACAGAAGAAGACGAAGAAGTTGTAGAAGACATGACGACGACTAAAGCTCTGCCGCCACCAGAGGAATCCTCTGAAGACATAGTTGAAGAAGTGAAGGAATTGGAGGTAGTGCAGGAGAGCAACGAACAACAAGAAGTAGATTTGTTGAATTTATTTGACGAGTCTGTTACAGTCGAAGATCAAGCAGACAAATTGGCTCTAGCCTTGTTTGATGGCGGTTGTGCATCAGCATCCTCAGAGCCTGCGGCAGCCACTCCATGGGAAGCATTCAATTCAGACGATTCGACGGACTGGGAGACGGCGTTAGTTGAATCAGCAAGCCATCTATCGAACCAGAAGATGGAGCTTGGGGGTGGTTTCAACATGTTGATGCTTGATGGAATGTATCAACAGCAAGCGGCCTCGAACGCGACCATGAGTCACTATGGAGCCACCGGGAGTGCAAGCAGTGTGGCGTTTGGCTCAGTTGGAATGCCGGCAATGTTGGCATTGCCGGCACCTCCGGCTTCTGGGGATGATGCTACAGCCACCACATCTGGTGGGGACCCGTTTGCAGCTTCTCTCTCGGTGTTGCCACCTTCTTATGTGCAGATGTCGGAGATGGAAAAGAAGCAGAAGCTACTGGTGGAGGAGCAGCTAATGTGGCAACAGTATGCAAAAGATGGAATGCAAGGGCACGTTCCAGGGACGAATTTACAGGTTAGCCCTTACAACGTAGGGGGTTGCACCCCCAGGTTATAAGGGCTTTGGCTGTTTATATAGGACACTAACGTGTTTTGAGAAAGGACGAGATAGGGGGAAGGGAATTTGATAAATGTGGGAAGGACATGTTTGACATAACAGAAAAGTATTGGTGGTCAAGCCTTTTAGGAGGGAGGAATGTACGGAATTTCTGTAATCTTTACCTTGTATTTTAAGAAAAACATATACATTTAATAAAGTTTTAACAAATGGCAAATTCGGATGTATATTTTGAAAACAATAACCAAAACAGTGACAGTGAATGGGAGAGATGTTCTGGTTTTTTCTAGACCAAAATGCCCTTCAATAAAAGCCTTTGTTCTCTTGGGTCTCCCGTCTCACCCTCTTTTCATCATCCATGTTTCCTCAGCTTCTGGGTCGTCGCATCAACATTCTGGCCAGGTTTGATTCGAGTTCGGGTCGATTTAAAGTTCGGAACAAGTTCGATTAATTATTCGAACTCGAGCTGGATTAATAAAAAATTTAGTTGAAAAGTTTGTAAGTTTGTTCAATTAATATATATATATATATATTATAATATTATAAAATATGAAATATATTATATATTATAAAAATATAAAATATAAGAATATTTATGAATTTTGATAAATAACACATTTAATCAAAAATTTTTCAGATATTATATCTTTTCTATATCATAGTTGATATTCATTTTAAAACTTTTGAGTCGAACTGAAACTCATCAAGTATTTAGTCAAACTCTTAGTCAAACTGAGATAAGACATGCCAAAGTTCAATTTGGCTTGACTAGCATCCATCAGAGCCGAATATTGGATCATCCAACTACACGATACAATATCCAAATCCTCTGATCATGCCTTTTAGTCCTCTCTCCCCCTCAGTCATTCACGATTACTCGTTGTCTTTCAGGGATAGACCGACAAAAAGACCTATAATAACCGAAACCGATGCAAGATGAACTTGGATTAACCATTTGATGCATGGTATCTGGCCTATCGTAGTTCCCAATTATCAAATGTGTTAATCTGCATAACCAGTATCAGAGACCTTTATTCATCTTTGTTCTTCTTACTCTTTTCTACTCTATGGGATATTTTATTGTTCAGACAGTTGTCCTAGAAGTTGCAGAACTTCATTTTATATCCATAGGAGCTCCTTTTCCTTCAACAACTTTATAGAAATCATAACAGACCTGGTTGAGTTGTTTGATGGTGAAATCGTGGTAATGGGGTTCTCAAATTAATCAAGGAAACTCTCATAGTCCTCAAGCTTAATCGATTGTTTCTCTTTTATTCTTTCTTATGACTTTTATTTTTATTTTATTTTTTTATCTTTATTACTTTAACCCGGGTGGTTTAATCATTTATCTATTTGACCCAGAAATTGATGGCTAAAGAAGTTCCAATTTTGGATCGGTTTTTTTAACTTTTTACGTATACATGTGCATGAGGCATGGTAGCTGCCTTTAGAGAGAGTAAAAATATTTACGGATGGATTAGGGATGCAACTTGTTAGGCTTAAAAAGAAAGGATGCAGCTTGTTAAGGCTTAAGTTTAACATTAGCTAAAATTTGAGAGGGTGTGGCCTGATACAGTGCAAATTCCTTAAATCGGATACCCCATTTGCACCCATTTTTGGCATCTATTTGCACCCCTATTATGGGTACAAATTTGTATCAATATATCATTTCAAGGAAAAAAACAGGGTGAGCTACTCTAGCTCCAAAGGTTAAGACAAATTACCTAGCTTTTTTGTCTGGCATTACTTTTCTTTTTATTTTACGTTTCTTTTGCAAGTATAGCATATGTGAGAAAAACCAGAAGTATCAACACTGTGTAGTTGATGCAATTTTGACCTATAAAAGCAATTTCATACAATCCACAAGGGGCATAGTGGTAACTATATGAGAGATGATCCAAAGAAACGTTTCAAAGAGTTAAAACTTCAGTTTCCTTGTATGGGCTTACAAAATGAATAATATGTTAAAATATATAGGCTGGGTGGCGTTTGGTAAAACTGAACTATGATATATAAGAAAAAATAAATGTGTAATCTAGATTTTGAATGGTCAAACTTTGCAAAATTTAGCCTTTCTATCTTCTCAATGGCTAAAATACCTCTGAGTGTGTTAAGAGGCAGATGCGACTCCGAGCTACTAATAAGAATTTTTAAAATTAAAAGGCCAGATTCAGAGGATACACCAACCAACCTGGAACACCTAATAATTATTTTATTTTCGATAATGAGAACTATTTATTCTAGGGTGCAAATTTGGGCGGACCCAACCCAAGCCTGAACCGATTCTGTTACCAATTAAAAACAGGCTAGGCTGGCCTGGGCTTTTTAATTTTTAAGATTGGGCTTTGGCCTAACTCTTAGGCCAGCCCATATATATATATATATAGTACATATTTGTATGCAAATATGTATATCAATTTTTAGTATGGGCTGATTGACTAATTCAAACTTGGCCTAGGCCCAAACCCAACCGAATACATCAAATTTTAGTCCAGACTGGGCTCAGATAAGATAATTTGGGCTTGACCTTTGTTTCGAGCTAGGAAACCCAATTCTTAGGGACTTGGCCCAACCTGCCTGACTTGCACTCTTATTTATTCTACTTCAGTAAGCATTTGGTGCGTTTTAATTTGTTATTTCTTCATTTATTACAACTAGCTGTACAGAAGTAGGGTTTTGGAATATCACATTCTTTTTCTTAAGTCTCAGTTTGGAAAGAGTACAAATGCAAATATGTACAATACAAATATATACAAAATAATGCAAAATACAAGTTTTTGCACTGTACATATTTGTATTCATACTCCTTCCAAACTGAGCCTAAGCTCCATTTGTTTTTCCTATCTATTTGTTTAATACATTTTGCCTATTGTATTAAATATACAAGGGATTACACATATGGACAGAAAAGATAAGCTACTTTTATAATCACTAGTAAGTATGCACATGCTTTGCACATGGCAATTTTTTATGTTGATGATAGTACAATTTTTTTTTTATTTGTAAAAATTATTTTGATTTTTCATACTTATTTTTATTCAATATAATTAATTAATATAAGATTAATTGAGAGAATGAGAGTTAATACCCTAAAGAGGGAATTGAATGAGGAGAAAATGTAGTAATTAAAAAATATGGGTATTGTAGTTAAGAATAGGATTCAACGAATGTTACTGGGAGTTAATACATTGAATATAAGAGTTAATGAGAGGGATTTGAACGAGGAAAGTGGTGGTTAAAATTGCATTTTTGTCCTTACAATTAGAGAGGGACAAAATTCAAAAGTTTATGTAAAGTGGTGGTTCAAATTGCATTTTTGTCCTTACAATTAGA